AAAGTGTAATAAATATCTATACATCTTATTAAGATATTTAATCTTGCCCCTGCTTCGTATAGACAACACGCCAGAAGAAGTATAACAATCATTTTGTTATATTCTGTTAAAAATGAACGAAAATTTACAAAACCCGAATCTGGAATAATACAAAAACGTCATCCATCAGTTATGAATGCCCATTTAAAAAAATCACAAAGAACAGAAACAGTCTTTTGGTAAACATCACTACCTTGGTTGTGTTGAAATGCCCTAAGTTCTACTAAAAAAACAAACTCCAGTAACATTTATAATCACAGAAGTACTTGCGTGCGCATACAAACGCACTTACAAACATGAATACAAGAGCACGCGCGCATAACACACATCTGCACATCTCCTACATGAGTTTCGGCAAACTGTGTTTATTTATATATATGAATTTAGACGTGCAAGGTAAAATCTAAGGCAAAGAATTGACAACAGCGAAGAGGCAGAGCAAGTGCAAGGAAAGGCACAGACTTGAGAAACTGGATATAAAAAGAAAGAGATGATTTATGAAAGGAAGAGAAAGGAATAAGAAAAAAGAAAAAACAGGAACGTAAGAAAAGAGCAGAAGACCCGAGAAAGTGGTGATGAGCTGTGGTGAACGTCTTCATCCAGAGGAAAGTCGAACCAAAAGCATTTTCATGAAAGTTTTAGTTGTTTTAATCCTCAGGACATACAATACTCAGCATTAACATTCTTAAACTAAAGAGGTTTTCCACTTTGCACACCTAACGTTTTGGAACTTGAGGTACACTTCTGTTACTCGCCACAGATTTTATTGCCTGTTGATAGCTGGAACGCCAACGTCCTCCACATCCGCAGGTTCGGTGTTCTGATTACTTTGTGTCTGCCTTGAATGTGCCAACAGACAGTTTCCACCTAGCTCAGAGTGTGTGGATACCAACACAAGAAGCAGTCTTCTTGAAGGTTTGACTACGTAACATAGTTCCTTTATAAACTAAGCGCATGCTAAATCACTAGGACTAAAGGCTTTACACACAGTTACAGCATGAGATCAAGAAGGTCGGGCGAACCATCCACCGCACCGTCGCTCGGCCTTTTGCCCGAAGCGATGTCACCGCCATCACCTGGTTCCTGGTAAGCTCTGTCTTGCTCGTTCCCGTGTCAGATAGTGCCTGGATCGCTGCCGCCGCTTTGACGCCAGTAGATTTCTAGGTTACATGATTTCCCAAGGACACTAAATAGAGCCATTAATCAGATTTGTGTGCTATCCGGATCACTTTTCCTTGTCGGATGAGCCCTGCAGCAGAGGGCGACGCGGTGTGACAGGGAGGCAACACTGACAGGGGCGGCCAGAGCCCTTGTTTACATTCCCGCAGGAACGTAAAGCCAAATACAAACATAACATCCATTATGCTTTGTAATACATAATCTCTAATTTAAACACAGAGGCTTACACAAATAATATATACTACACGATGCCACAATCGACCTAAATCACAAGCGCTTATAACTGACACACATTGCAGTACTCAAAACCACAATGGTACCCAACAAATTGCTAAAACAGTGATCGTTTCATGGCGATGCACAGTGGCACGCGGGACTAGTTATGCAACAGATGTAGTTGATTTTTTTGAACACCAGAGGAAAGATAATTCCAGTTCCATTTACTCATTTACTAAGATTTACTTGGTACCCTTTTCTCTCTCTCTCTTTGAAAATATACCTTCTGTTTTGCTAATGAAAATGGACAGCTCTAACATTCACTACTAATGTAAGCTCGCTGTTGTAAGTATTATAAGTGCCGTACAGTCGCAAATCAGTTCAAAAAAGTGAATTTGGCAGGTTAAACGCGCACACATATGCACGGTCCACAATTATAGCGTCAGTCTCTTTGTATTAAACCTTACTGCGTGCATTTCGAGCATTAGCACGACGCCGGTGACCATCCGCTTTTAGGTTTTGTATTGATCAAACAGGTAATTACATGTCACACTAGAAAAAAAAAGAGGAAAAAAATGGCACTGACGCAAAAATCAGGCTGACATCCATGAGTGGTAGATTATTGATTTCTGCTTTTTTTTCCTTTTTTTTTTACAGCTGGGGCCTTTGAGGAGATTCGGATAATCGGGGTAAAAATCACCAATCTTCACGTTAGACGGATTAGGTCTTGTCTCCCGTCTGTCGGTCGGTTCTCACTCTCGTCCACTGGTAAGGTTTCGTGGTAACTGAACACTAAATGAATCTGGGACTTTGACATCTCCTTAATGTTTTCTTTCGTCTTTGTCACTTAATTAAAAGTTTACCCATTTTTTTTTTATCCTTTATTTTTATCATGAAAATTGGAACCTGTGTTTTCATGAATACTGGAATCTGATTCTAACTACGTCTGTTCCTAATGCCGAGTTTCATTACTAATTCTCAAAAAGGGAGTCCTGTGATCTCCTCTTGGAAAAAAGGCGCTGCTGTTGTCTTCTGTGGTCTTGTTGGTTAACGTGTATTTGAGTTATTGCAGTCATATTTTGTCCTGTGTTATTGCACTCTTTATTAGTTTGTCTTATTGCAAGTTTTTCTCAGTCAACTGCAGAGCCCGTCATTAAAGTCCGTACTCACGTTCTTGTGTTTTGTTTGGTTATTTATTTTCTGCCATATTTATCCTCCTGTTTAATCACTTATTGCGTTTTAATCACGATGGTGCGTTCCGATGCTGGTCTGTTCAGTTGCATTGAAAATTCAGACTAGTTTTGTTACAAGTTAGTATATAAAAAAAAATCAATAAAAATAAAACAAAACTATATTACATGCATTATATCCATATACAGCTTAATGTCTTTACGTTATGTATTTACTTCTTTTAATTGTGCCGTAAATGTGACTTACTTTCACTGAGTTTATGCATCGAAACTGGAACTATTCAAAAAAAAAAAAAAAAAAAAAAAAAAAAAAAATATATATATATATATATATATATATATATATATATATATATATATATATAAATATATGTTGCACATTTTCCTTACCATTTCATAAATACCTTCATCTGGTTTTCTTATCTCCCACTTAACCTGCTTGGACTTCATAAGCAGTAGTGCCGTGCTTTGTTTTGTGAGCCGAACTTCCACGTGTATTACAGCCTTAATCATCCCATTAGATGAATTACGGCTGGACGCACTCAAATTGAATTCGTGACTGCTGAAATTAGCGTGAAATCTGAACGTAATGTAGGTAATTTTCTCTATGGGTTTCATTATATTCAAGGGGTAAGTGTGCTGTGTATTATGGACTGTGTTAAATGTTGTGAGTTGTGTTGCGTCGTTCTGTTGTGTTTAGTGTGTTGTGTGTGTGTGTGTGTGTGTGTGTGTGTGTGTGTGTGTGTGTGTGTGTGTGTGTGTGTGTGTGTGTGTGTGTGTGTGTGTGTGTGTGTGTGTGTGTGTGTGTGTGTGTGTGTGTGTGTGTGTGTGTGTGTGTGTGTGTGTGTGTGTGTGTGTTTCCTTTCTTTACTTTGCTTCTTTAATGAAACACTTTATTTCCATTTATATCATTTTACCTTAATGCATTTTTTAAAAAGGATTTGGCTTTATTCATGATAAGCGTCCCTCACACGTCGCCCTTACTTAACCATCCTTACAGTGGCTTCTAAATACTTATATTACACTGTACTTGGAATAGCAATTATGCCGTTGATATTATGTTTAAAAAAAAGCGTTTCACATTTCTATTTTCATCACAGAAGTTTCAGATGCTTTATAGATCCTTAAAAACTCCACTATATATGGTTTCCGCTTCCTAGGACTTTCCACGATTATCTGTCTATCACAGTCTTATCATAATTTTCCCCTCGTGCTCTAATCTCTCTGGAAATCTCACAAGGACAAGATTAATCTCAAGTTACTTCTGTTTCTTCATTATTCTTCATTTTCTTTTTCTCAACTTTCTTTCTTTCTAACTTCGCACTTCAAGTCACTTCCGTTTTTTTTTTCTTTCCTCTCTTTCTTTCTCTCTAACCCCGCACTTCAGGTAACTTCTGTTTCCCTTTTCCTTTTCTTTCTTTCTTTTCCTTCTTTTCTAACCTCTCACTTCAGGTAAATTCCTTTCTCCATTTCTTTTTCTTTTTTTTTCCATTCTTTCTTTCATTCCTTTCTAACCTCGTACTTCAGTTTCCCTTCCTCCTCTTCCTCTTCTTCTTCTCCTCCATTTTCACTCTTCCATTCTTTCCCTTCCTCCGAAACCCTAAAATCAAATCGCCGAAATCTGCTCGAGGATGAGGCAGCGCTCTCCCGACGAGGCCCGAGACCGGTCGTGGGAGAAGCGCGGCGTGGCGGCGGCGTCGAGCACGGTGTACTCCGTCAGCGCCGTCGAGGACCCGTTCTGGTGGTGGCGCGGGATGTCCAGGTATCCCGAGCCGCCGCCGGAGCCTCCTGCTGTACTCCTTCCTGGACGGCGTCTGCAGGAGGACGGGGCAGGCGGTCAGAGGGCGGGGGAAGGGGGGTTTACATGGATAGGTATACGTGCAGATATATACATGCATACATGCACTACACACACGTGTTTATGTGTGTATATATTTATGTATGCACGTGTGTGTGTGTGTGTGTGTGTGTGTGTGTGTGTGTGTGTGTGTGTGTGTGTGTGTGTGTGTGTGTGTGTGTGTGTGTGTATGTGTTTTAATTTTTTTCAGAAATTACGTAACAAAACGCTAAACATATCTTTCCCCGCTTAACCATCCAGTATAACCCGCCCTTCACATCAACGTCAAAAATAATTCCCCACCATGCCTAAGAAGTGGTCTGGCCCTCAGAGGAGAGCCGTCAGTGCCAATATTCATGACAGAAAGGTAGGCGCGGAGGTCCTTTAAGATGCCTGGCACTCCCGATACTCTGCCGCTTAGGAGACCTGCGCGCGGCACCGACTGTTATCCAGGGCGTCAGCGGGGAATCGGAAATCGAAATTGGCGGTGCGTGTTTTGAACCGCCAATGGATATCTCTTTTTTTTTTTTTTTCTTTCCTCTCTTTCTTTCTCTCTAACCCCGCACTTCAGGTAACTTCTGTTTCCCTTTTCCTTTTCTTTCTTTCTTTTCCTTCTTTTCTAACCTCTCACTTCAGGTAAATTCCTTTCTCCATTTCTTTTTCTTTTTTTTCCATTCTTTCTTTCATTCCTTTCTAACCTCGCACTTCAGTTTCCCTTCCTCCTCTTCCTCTTCTTCTCCTCCGTTTTCACTCTTCCATTCTTTCCCTTCCTCCGAAACCCTAAAATCAAATCGCCGAAATCTGCTCGAGGATGAGGCAGCGCTCTCCCGACGAGGCCCGAGACCGGTCGTGGGAGAAGCGCGGCGTGGCGGCGGCGTCGAGCACGGTGTACTCCGTGTGTGTGTGTGTGTGTGTGTGTGTGTGTGTGTGTGTGTGTGTGTGTGTGTGTGTGTGTGTATGTGTTTTAATTTTTTTCAGAAATTACGTAACAAAACGCTAAACATATCTTTCCCCGCTTAACCATCCAGTATAACCCGCCCTTCACATCAACGTCAAAAATAATTCCCCACCATGCCTAAGAAGTGGTCTGGCCCTCAGAGGAGAGCCGTCAGTGCCAATATTCATGACAGAAAGGTAGGCGCGGAGGTCCTTTAAGATGCCTGGCACTCCCGATACTCTGCCGCTTAGGAGACCTGCGCGCGGCACCGACTGTTATCCAGGGCGTCAGCGGGGAATCGGAAATCGAAATTGGCGGTGCGTGTTTTGAACCGCCAATGGATATCTCTTTTTTTTTTCTTTTTTTCGTCCCCTTTTCTGCAATTTGCAATCTGGCTGAAGGTTTAGAGCGAGAGGCTGTTTGGGGTTTTGTGATTCCGCCGCTGACGTAATCAGATTAAATACCAGCGTATATGCGTAGGTACGTAATGAATGTATACATACATATATTCACATATATTCATACATGCTTACGTATATACATATTCTGTATCTCTCACACATATATTCGAAACCCTAATTCCGAGTATTCTAAATGAGGCTTTCTTGAAATGGAAAATTCAATAACCATCGACGTTTTAAAAAATAACAACAATTTCCGTTTTTATGGTCTTTGAACTGTTATTTGCTCATTTAATAGCAGGGAACATAATTAGTAAATAGTTCATCACAAAGAAAAAAGCGTTTAAGAATTCTACAAATTTGTTATAATTTTCATTTACCATCGAATCGAAAATACTCGATGGCACTTTAATCACATCGATTCCACTGACATCAATCTGATAGCATTAAAAGCACTTGATTCACAAAGGAAAAGTATCTTAAATTATTTCAAGCAGCTTAAGCACGCCTTCTGAATATATATTAACTTTGCCAATAGTCAGTAATGGAGGTTTTGATGAACAGGTTTACGTTCGATATAATTCGAAATTTTGGTAATATACACGCTTGAATCGTAATAAAGAGTTTATACTGAGGACTTGTGTCTCTTACATAATCTTAGATGCTCTAGTAACAAAATTATGAAAAGATAAATTCATTAAACCTGATTTACATGATGATCTTAATTATATCTCAATAACTTTAGCACCAGATGTAAGGTAATTCCCGAAACGTGTACAAACAATAATAAAAATGAAATACAAAAGTACGTGTCTGCCGCTGAAGTCCCACAGCCTTTCGTAACGCCAGGCTTGGAGATATCCTGATTGTATCTTGCCTTGAAGGATGCTGTTGACATTTTGATGTTGTTAAATATAAAGGTCAAGGGTGTGTCAACTTTCAAAACCTGGTAATGTAATCTAAGGCAGTCTGAATTGAATATCTGATTTTTTTTTCTTTTTTCTTTTGTATGTTAACTGATCTCTACTGCTTTAGCCTAGCCGTGTTCAGACACATTTAAGAATATTAAGCGAAATAAGTCGGAGTAAATCGATATTTGTTTACATTCCGCAAGTGATCGTCCTAAAGTGTCCTGAAAATAAATAAAGCGTATAATGCATTTATCTACTCTCTCTCTCTCTCTCTCTCACACACACACACACACACACACACACACACACACACACACACACACACACACACACACACACACACACACATACACATACACACACACACACACACACACAACAGCAACAACATGAAAGCATAGCCGGGCCAAGACTCCCTGTCCGATCCGTAAAGATACCTACATTTTAAAATATAACCGCATCCACGACCCCAGTCCATGATTCATTTTCGATACAAAATACCGGATGATGATTGATGATGAGCAATTCGATCATTAACCTTCCCTTTCCTGCCGTTAACAGCCTATTTCAGCTCAACAACGGCCAATGGGTCGGTTCAGCGCCATTCCATCTTTTTTTCTCTCGTTTTCTCTCTCTCGAAGCTCTAGAACAAAGCGTTTGCGTGCCGAGGACGAAGCAGCGAGCGTGGAACAATGATGGAACAAAGATGGAACGATGATTAAATGGTCCATCAGTGTGTCAAATGGTTAATGCGCAAATTGTGAAATATGAATAATGCTGCTCTCGTTTTACACGTGTTATGAGTCGACGGTTGAAGCGAGATTCATGAACATGCTGATGGACTTTCGCTCTTATGGAGGTGTGCCATGAAATTTGATGGCTGAGATGTTATAAATATTGGAACTATCAGCGTATAAATGTGTGTGTGTGTGTGTGTGTGTGTGTGTGTGTGTGTGTGTGTGTGTGTGTGTGTGTGTGTGTGTATGTGTGTGTGTGTGTGTGTGTGTGTGTGTGTGTGTGTGTGTGTGTGTGTGTGTGTGTGTGTTTGTGTGTGTGTGTGTGTCTGTGTGAATATGAATATGTAGATAAAATATATAATATATGTATATACACATACATCTACAAAGATTCCAGCATCTCCTATCATTTATATTCATCAAGTTACAAAGCTTTGCTCCCAAGCCAGTTTCCTATGATAATACATCCGAACACAATCTTACTATTACATTACTGTAGACTTACGCCACTCCTGATCTCACGCGTTCCCTTTTCCCAAGACTCGTGTTCTCTTCCTTAGGGCTTGGTCGGTATAGCGGGTAAGGAATCCGTGCTGTGGTAGTTGTGTGTGTGTGTTTTTTTTTCCATGACTATTGTTCGCTGAAGTAAACTACTCTTGAGTTACGTGGAAACTATCCTTTGCAGTTACTTAAGTTAGGAAGCTCGTTAAAAAGCGCTGTCAACACTTATGAGTGTGCCTGGGTTTGTCTTTTTTGCTTATGTGTGTGTGGTACGTTTGTGTATTTTTGTTTATTTTATTTTTATTTTTTATTTTTTGCTTTGTTTGTTTGTTTGTTTGTGGCTGTGTGTGTGTGTGTGTGTGTGTGTGTGTGTGTGTGTGTGTGTGTGTGTGTGTGTGTGTGTGTGTGTGTGTGTGTGTGCGCGCGCGCTTGTGTGTGTGTGTGTGTGCGTTGCTGACTTTTCTCGCAAACCTTGTGATTCTGCAGCAAATACATTCGCTTTAAAATCCCTTTGGCAAAGACAGAGACACGAACTGGGGCGGAGAAACCCGTAGAGTTTTAAACCTTCCATCCATGAACATTTAAAAAATCACGATCTGTATTCAGTCTCCTGGACGCACAACTAAGAGTCAAATATATATATATATATATATATATATATATATATATATATATATATATATATATATATATATATATACATATATATACACATACATATATATGTATATATGTACATATACATATATGTTCCAAATTCATTATATGTATGTGTGTCTGTGTGTATGTATGTATGCACATGCCTCTGTGTACGTGTTTATGTGCATATCCATGTAAATATACATGTGTATATGCATATGTGTACATATCCACATACCTATACTAACAATCACAAATACAAACACACAAAAAACAATAACCACTTAAAAAATAAATAAATAAAAAAATAGAATAAAAAATAAAAACATTATAATAAACAGACAGTTAAATAAATGCATAAATTCCCATCCAGCGCAGCGCCGTGGGATCACTTACTTCTGAGGTACACAAGACCTGCAACATGGCGAGCAAAAGCAGGCAGGCGCGGCGTAGGAGGAGGTGGAGGTGTTAAAGCCATCTCCGTAGGACGGACAGGGTCGACACCGGAACGTGAGTATCCTGGTGAAAGCTTCCTGAAACTCCTGGTTGAAAATACTGTAGATTATGGGATTGAAGGAAGAGTTTGTGTATCCGAACCATGTCAGCACCTGTAGGGGGAGAAGAAGAGGGGGGGGGGGAAGAGAGGGTGGTTAGAGCGTGGAATCGTGTGTTATATCGCTCTCGCTAATGATACGTGTCGTGTGGGGGCGGGGGAGGGGAGGAGTAAGGGGGGGAGGGAGGTCGAAGGACTTATGAACTCAAATTGTATTGTCTTCTGGAGGAAAGCTGAGGGGGAGTCTAAGCACTGGGGGCTTTGGGTGGGTCTGATTCTCTCGTTTCTCTTTCTCTAATATGGTTATTTATTTGTCCTTCTGTTTATCTATCTAGGTAGCTCTCTGTCCACACACACACACACACACACACACACACACACACACACACACACACACACACACACACACACACACACACACACACACACACACACACGCACATACATACACACACACACACACACACACACACACACACATACACACACACAGACAATAGATAAATAGGTAGACAGACTAATTGACTGATAGGAAGGTAAACAAACATATAAATATAGATATATATATATGTATATATATATATATATATATATATATATATATATATATATATATATATATGTACATACATGCGAATATGTATATATGTACATATCTGTATCTTTATATACATATGTACATATCTGTATCTATACCTATATTCATGTCTGCCTGTTCCCTTGACAGTCGCTCACCTTAAAAACGATGTCAGGAATACAAGTCTTGCAGAAGGCAGCGGCGATGTTGACGCAGAAGAAGGGTACCCAGCAGGTGAGGAAAGTGCCCACAATGATGCCCACTGTCGTCGCCGCCTTGGACT